CTGAATATCATGAATTTCTTTTCATTTAAGTTCTGAGAATTTGGTGGTAGATCAAGACAATATCTCCTTGCTGACGATTTGATATCCCGGGTTGGGGCGGGGGGGCGGAGGGGGGGACTCTCTTATAAAAAAGGACGGGGGTGCTTGTCGTACCTTTTAGGGTTTTATAAAAAAAGCAGTTTTGGTAGCTGTTAGGTGTTCAGCCTAAAAAACGTCTACAGCAGGAGCTTTCGCGGTACCTTTTGGGGTCTTGAGCCGAAAAAAACATGACAGGAGATATTTGACGATCATCTTTACGAGTAGAAGGTCAGTTTGAAGCAATCGTCTTTATCGCCATTAAAAATTATGCAAGTGTCAGTTAATGTGCTGTTTTAGAATAAGTACCTCTTAGGGGCGAAAATAGTTTTTCATTCCACGCCCACAAAACAAGATCTTGGCACCTCTTAATTAGCGGTTCTTTTCAAAATTTCCGACGAGTACCAACTGTTCTTTTGATATGAGAGGTTTGAAATACTCTCATATCGTTTTTAAGTTGATTGACTGCACCGAGTTTCAATTTACGTGACTTTGAAAAACGTTTTCTGTGATGAAGCCCAGCTTGTTTTAGCTTTATCTTGCAGCTTCATGTTTTTTCTTCTGCAGCTTTTCTCCAAAAGAAGCTCAAGAAAGAAAAGAGAGCAAAACGTAAGCTTGGCGAGCAACTCCTGGGTAAGTGCACAGTTTTTGTTATGAATACTAGAAATTATTTACGTTGATATTTTCTAGAAGTTTGAGGGACTTTTCGATGGCTTCGGGAATCAGTCAACCCTAGTATTTCTTTGTTGCAATATTCTCTTACAACCTGTGTCACAAGGGTTGAAAAACGTCATTCTTTTCGCATTTTGCCCCACCCCTTACCTGTGCAATGTTGAAAAAAAATTCAATTAACGTAAGTTTGCATTTTACCATTTTCCAACACTGAAAGGGGGAATTGGGGTGCTGACACGTATTCTGTAGGTATTACAGTTATGATTTCATGTTTTTTGGCACATTTTCCAAAAATAATTTTTTCTATAGTTGTAGAAAAGTAAAATATAGATAAAAGATACCATGTAATTTACCCGCTGCTCTCAGTTGCTAATTACACATATCATTGTTATTTGACCAGAGGAGCAGCAACGAAGTGAATTGCTTGAAGAACAGCTTAGAGAAACGACTCAAGACGCTCTTAAACAGCGGAATGGTAAGAAATATTCTTGTCGTGTTAGAAAGAGGATTTCAAGTCTTCTCCTCAACGACTAATCTACTACGCCGCAGACAGTGGTCTGGTCCTAGTGAAATTCTCTAGCGACCAGCCTTCCACGTAGACTAAGAGAGTAAGGGTGTTTTTCAGTAAGTCTCTGAAACACAGCCGAGTTTCCGACTCGTGTGAGTGTATTTTTCTTACCGTCTGAAACTGTCGACTGAAATTTTACATGAGCCTGAAATATGCATAGAGTGTTTTCAGATGACGTCACGGCAGCCATATTGGTGTTCCAAATCAATGAAACGGCGGCCATGTTGAACTCTTTTCTTATGTAAACACATCCTTTTGTTCCAACACATTTGCATGGGTGTTGGCCTCGTGAGTGAAAACGCTCTTTACTGACCATCGTGATTGCCTTTGAGTTGTTCACTGTCAAGTTTTAATCTCATGTAGACGAGTTAATTCAAGAGCTGGAGAGAGAACGATGCGCGAAGATTGAGGCTGAGAGGAAGTTAAAAGGTAAACAACCCTCTGACAATATGTCTCCGACAACTCCTCTTAAAGGAGCTCAGTAACGGTATTTTGAGTTATTTTGGCCACAAACAAAATTACCTTAAAATTGAAGGAAACCTGAAAATAGTAGTTTACTAAGACAGAAAAACACCAAAGAGATAATAATAATAAACCATAAAGGAACAAGGATGGTTAAGGATGGAGAAGATTGATACGGATTACAAACCGCAACGAATAAACTAACTTACGTATTTAGCTCCTTTAAATGTAAACCCAGGGGTTTATTTAGGTTGAGATTCTTTAGCTTCTTTAGGGGAAGCTTCTTTTACAAGAGAGTTTCAAGGTAATGGTTACTTTTTATTTCTCCTGTTTTCTTTGTGACAGAAGCTCGAGGTGAGATTCAGAACTTCGTGCACAACTTCCTTGAAAACCCAACTCAAGAGGGGACTGGGCACCAGTCGGAGGAAGAACCAGAAGAACTAAACGTCGTAGAAGTTGTCAAGGACGACCAGATAGTAGTCAACACATAGGTCTGCAACGCGTGCTTATTAACCGACTGGCGATGGCTCTATGTCCATTTCGGGCATAACACAGGGGCGAGAATTTGAGGGGAAACTCGTGTCTGCGGTAACCGCGGCACTGGAGAGAAAAGAAACTTACATTATTGCTCGCGCTTTTTCTGGTGTAGATGATTTTGTTTGAGTTCATTTCTTTTGCAAAGCGAGCTTGATTGAATGCAGTACTCGATGGCAAAGTTCAAGTTGAAGTTTCTGTGTATATACTAGTCAAGTAACGTCGTTGAACCTCAGAAAAAGAACAAAGCCATAAAACAAATTGAGTCCGATCCATCATTGACCCTTGTACTACCTTCCTTGGCGAAAGGTTTGGTGCTTACACATCGTTACGAGATGTCCATTCAGCGAACGTGTTTCGCTCTGTTGTGATGTTAAAGTCCGGTCTGTTCGTAAACCACCGAAAATGTTGATATAGTTTTATAGCTCTGTAAATACCAAAGCGTAGAAATCGTTCGTGGCATACGTGTGAGATTTGATGATTATTTATTTTGTATATGACAAGCGCTCTTTTACATCACTTTGTTGTGCTGTTGTGTTTGTACTTGAAATGACCACAAATACAGAAATCTACTTTTATAACTCGTGTTTATTGCCATAGTTGCAACTGACTACTTTGTTACAGTTTTTTTAACTTAACATAATCTTAGCTATAAACACCTGAGGATCGGAAACAACTTGAGCGGTTTTACAGTGAGACTTCTCGAACCGGTCCACCTGGAGGGAAACTAACCAAACGTAAACTGAGATCCGTGGTACCCTTTTCGTGTCGACAAGTAATAACGGTCTGTTTGACATGAATACATAAGTACTATCGACTCCTCTGCGTCATATACACTCTCAGAGATTCAGTCCTTATAAATTTCGCTCGAAAAACTTAGCTTGATAACTCATTTTTCGGCAACTAAACCGAAACCGTTGAAAGGCGGACAAACTTTAGGATCAAAACTAGCCAATCAACAAATTTCCTGAGAGGTTGGCAACACTTCGTACTTCGTTGGGTTTTCAATTTTGTTAAGAACCAATGTTCGTACTCTTCAAAGTTATTGGTTTATTTGAGAAAAAGATCGCTTTCCTTTATTCTCAAGTGACGTTCTGATTGGTTAACTCTTTTCCAAGTGGCCCGGTTCGAGTAGTCGCACTGTAAACTATTTTTGTCTTTGGATAACACAGTTGTGATACACACACAACGACTCTGTCACCTTCTAAATGGAACTTGCCATCAAGACATCGTTAACTTCCGCTCTACGCTTAAAACTCAAGAGACTCCTGAATCTCGTGCATGGTTCGTGCGCAGTGCTGCAGTTGTTTAGCCTCGCTTTCATCTAATGTCTGTCTGATGACGTACATGACGCCATGGGAACCAAGCACGCAGGGAAGACTGAGAAATACGTCTTCTTCAATTCCGTGAAAACCCTGAGAAATAAAATAACAAATATCTGAGAAAAGTTCCTTGCCTTGCCACGTTTTCAACGCACACTACAAACAGTTTCTTTTTTTTCTCAATTCGTCAAGCGTCAAGCAATAAGTAAAAAGCGCGATAAAAATAATGTTTGCGCGAAAACTGGAGTTGATACGCACCGTTTCATTTTTCACCCCTGACCTGTCTCTTTCCGCCCAGACACAACTTCGTTTTCCCTTTCGCGCTTGTGTTTTTCGCTTCAAGTTCGACAAACGAAAAATGGGCTTCTCATATCTTATTATTTCGTCAACGCCGTTTACGTTTTTAACGGTGTTTTCACTTAAGTGTAAGGCAAGGCGCAATAACTATTGAGCGCTATAAGGGATTCAAAAGTTCACAGAACCGAGTGTTCTTTTTCAGATATAAATAAGCAAGAGTACGAATCAAGCTCATGATTCCCCAGTGAGAAACGAAAATACGATAATGAAGTACATACGGCGTGCAGCATGTAAACACTTAGCAAATTTTCCCCTACGAGCTCAACTAATTTTGGGACCCATGAATCATAACTTGGGTCTTTCTTTCTCCCTCGCTATCCCTATTGCTTAGCAATAGTAACAATGTAGTACCTTGGCAAGGGTAGATATAGCATAGACGTTCTTCTGGTTTCTAAGCAACGCCTGGGTCATGGTGGCGACACTCATTCCGATGGCCCAGGATGTGTAACCTTTCAGTTTGATCATCTCATAGGCGCTGAATAAAAAAGTGATGAAAGTAGTAAAGAATAAATAATTCCCTGTAACAGATTCCGGCACTGATCACCGCAGCCAGAGACTTTCCCCAATTTTTTACATAAGTGCTTTCCCAGGCCAAAAACCTATTATCACATATAATGCATCTTTTCCACTTTTCCTTAGAACTGGAACGGAGTCAATCCAACATTGAGGTGGTGAATGAAATGTTCATTACATAACTGATACTGCGACAACCTCCACAAAAAACTGCAGTCACACATTAGTAACCTATAACTACCTGTTCCCTTGCTGACAGAGACCAGAGCAAAGTTGTTACAACAATTTACCGCCCTCCAGTCTCTAAGATCTACGTATAAAACAGACAGGTTCCACAGTGGTTTGCTCGACAATCGCTTTGATCACTTTTTCATTGTTGTAATTTTATATTTTGAGCAAGAGTGAGTACAAATAAAGATTGATTTATTGATCATGCAGCCATATAAATAAATCCCACAGTCTCGTAAATCCCGGCCTTACCTGTTAACAACCTTCTTGTATACCTCACCCCAATTTTCAGGATCATTTTCAGCCCCTATCTCTGGGTTAAGATCCTTGAGGTTCACTCCTGCTATGTTGACACCACTCCATACGGGCACTACAAAGAAAACAGTAAGGCAGTTTATTCTCAGCGGTTCGGAATCCTAAATCCTTGAATCTGATTGGCTAATCGCGCGGACTCCAGGATTTTCGCATCCGGACCCCGAGTACGGACCGCTCTGAAATTTCTAACTTTGGAAACTTTTCAAGCTTTTTGTTACACCGTAAAGCAACGTAAAATGTGAACAATCAAAATAGAGTCAAACAATTATGGATTCCGATACCTTTTTGTGCACGAAATGTGAAACGCACGCGTACGCCACATTTGAATTGAACGTCCATAATTAAAATTCAACGAACAAAGGTGCTTTCAAAGCAATACCGTAAAGAAAATTAGTAAACAGGTTATTTGCAGGCCTTGGTCGGTCTGTGGTGGGAAAAACTGTGCCCGAGGTCTTGATTATCGCCCGAGGCCGCGAGTCGGCAAGTAACATACAGCATATATAGTCGGAGGCTTTACTGCAAGGGGCTGAGAAAGGGGTTGTTATGACGTACCACTAGCGTCACCATGCTCGCCAATGATCCAGCCATGCACATTGTTTGGTGCGATGTTGAGTTTCTCACTGATCAGAAAATGAAACCGAGCTGTGTCCAGGTTCGTTCCACTTCCTATCACGTGCTCATGGGGAAGACCGCTGATTTTCCATGCCACATAGGTTAGAATGTCCACTGAAGAAATTGGAGAAAAAAACTGGTCAGATCGCAACACTTTGGTGCCAGGTGAGAAATTTTAGTAATTTATATTTTACTCGCTAACTCTGTTCTTACTGGCTGAAAGAACTGTGACAGCTAAATGATACTGGCATAAATTGTGATATCAGACCTATTGATAAGACTTATGCATGTAGCTAGAGCTGGTTTTATTTCAACAGATAATATAGACCACGGCCCTAGCTGCACTCTCTGTTCCCGCCTGAAACAGGAGCTGTACCCAGGCGGGGGAGGTGAAAGAGCAGGATAACCTGCACGCGCTTGCTCAAAACGCCGCCATGACAGAAATGCATGTCGAAATTCCAAACTGTATTCTTTAACTCTATACCCAGGCCACTTATATTTTTACCTCGGTTTGAAGGGTAGCCGGCCTGCGATAGACTAGCATCCCATTCAGGGGAAGCAGAAATATCTCGAGTTGCTTTGTGCTGCAGAAACTGGGATGCCTCGTATGCAGACTACACCTTCTTAGTAGAAATTATAGCTTTTATTCAAGTCTGATTGCTCTTTCATCGTAGTGTGAAACTTATTAAAAGCGTACAGTTCTGTGTATTAGCTATCTCCGGATCTGTGCAATATCAACATTGCTATTACCTGGGTTAGAAACAATCATCAGAATTGTATTTGGACTGTGTTTCACCAGTTGTGGAATAATTCCTGTGAAGACAATCAGCAAATTTAAATACTTAAACGTGCAACCTCTCACCAAGCCACTCCCCAGGGCAACGACACAAGTCGTTGAAGCAGAAGACCCTCCAGAGCAATCTTACCTTTGAAAATGTTTACATTTCTCTGCACCAGGTCCCTTCTACTTTCACCCTCTTTCTGGCGAGAGCCCGCGGTCACAATGCACAAGTTGGAATTCTTGCTAACGGAATAGTCTATATGGAATAATAATAATAATAATAACAACAACAACAACAACAACAATAATAATAATAATAATAATAATAATAACAATACAAAATACATCGACAGAAAGAAATACTGGCAAACCTGATTTACGGAATATGCGTTATCTAAATCATCCACCGTTCACCCATCAAACTCGTGAATTTTTCTTACCTAGTACGCTTTTTTTCTTTCTCAAAGTGTAAATTACAGGATATATAATCGAAATTTTGCTTTCGCATCCTCGCGTTCGAAAGAGATGCACATATAATTCACAAAAACAGATGTTACCAGTGCTCGCCTTGATGCTAACGTTCTTGACAAAGCGCTGACAATGCTGTAAGTCCAGCATTTCTCCTTTCAACTTGTCCTCGATCATGTCAATCAGTGCAATTTCACGGCAAATACCCTATCAAATGATACAATCACATTTCTTTCACGTATGAACGCCGTATAATACATACATTCAATTCAAATTACAACTGAAATTATCAGAGTAGCTCTATTGAGCTATGATCTTCGAGAAAGAGAAATTCGTAAATCAATTAAAGTATTACAATACTTCATTAGAACGCGAAAATACTAAGAGTTCATTTTCTTTATGGCTATCTAGAACTCTTTTAATTTGGTGATGTTATTGTTCTCATACTGCCTGGGAGCGAGTTTTTGCAGCTTGGTATGGTGCCGGATACACTCGACTCCATGACTTGTTATTTTTGGTATAGGTACAATGTAACTACCAACCTATCTAGTGTTTAATTCTGTTTTTGAACTGATTTATTGATAAGTCATGTTTTTAGTATCCGTGGTTCATGTGAACGATAACTTTGTAAATCGCGTCAAAGTGACGGGAACGAGGAAGGAAGAAAGAAATAAGTAACAAGAAACATGAAAAGGAGAAAGAGAGACAGAAAGACAGAAGGAAAGAAAAGAAAGACAGAGAGAAGAGAAGGAAAGAAGAGAGGAAGGAGAGAAGGAAGGTAGAACGAATCTTGGGAGAAAGGAAGTGTTTTGGCAACCTCGATTCCAGTAACCTGCGATCAGGCGTTCTTTCGCTTTTTTGGCGGCGGGAGCGTGATCGCACGTTACGTTTCCAGTGTTTGCTCCTCCCGCCCTCTGGAGCACGAGAATACAGACCCTGGGAACGAGCTTGGTGTTTTGCACTTATTACCTGCTGCATAATGCTGTAAGCACATGCCATCCCTACTTGTCCTACGCCTACAATAGTCACTTTCGTATGGGATCGTGTTCCCTCCTCGCCAACCTTTTGCATTAACTTTTCCTGCAGAGTTGCCATAACGACCAGGAAGCTATGTCACCTGTGGGCTGCAGAATGAACTTGCTCAGCTGTCAGTCATTCAAGGGCAGTGTACTACGTTCGATTACAGTTTGGAAAACTACTTTAAATCTGGACGATTTTAATTTCGGACAGAAAAGTGCCGGTAAATTAAATCGCCCAAAATTTTTAAACAAACGAAATTTTACATGTAAGCGTCTGAAATCAGCACTCGGATTAGGCTTTGTTCGTTCTTTTTATTGCTGGAAAGGAAAATTTCTGTTTCTTTTTCTTTGAAGGCGCGGTAAAACTATTTTTTTCACAGATATTGTTTCAGTCCAATTCGTGTTTTGTAAGCGTTATTAACTTTCAGCAGTGTCCGAAAATTAAACGTCTGCGCTGAAATATAGCGTCCGAAATTTTTAGCAAGTAATGCATTCTTTGATTGCCTACTTTACATCAGTGAGAAAGGAGTCCCACCAATGCAGTTAAGAAGACAATTTCGAAAACTTAAAAGCACTGTGATTTGAAGATCTAAACAGTTCCACCCTCCGCTCCCCCGCCAAAAATATATATATACGATAAAACAACCGCAAAATTAACGTTCTTCGACTTCTTCGTTTTGTTTCTTTTGCTGATGACTTGTCTTAAAAATTTGAGTTACACCTACGATGGGCACCTTTTGTATTTAAAATGTACCAAATTCTACTGCTACTTTTTAAAACAGATGCTTTTTAACGTTGCGTCACGCACAGGTGGCCTAAGCTCTGTATGTGACTGCTGTAACCAAATGTGATGCAACGAACACTTTATCCATTAAGTCTAAAAGTCTATCCAGGAGTAGTCAATCGATAAAAATCGATATCAGAAATCAATCGATTCAATCGACATCAATCGCCGATTGCTATCGATTGATATTGGGAATCGACAACTCACAGGAAATTTTGGTTATCGATTACCATTGACTGGCAAAAATCGATAACAATCGATAATTCCTGTCTTCAGGAATATCGATTGTTATCGATTTAAAAAATAATAATCGACAATAACCACCCGGACCTTTCAAAGATGGCTTTGTTATAGTGCAAAATAATTTTCAGCATGCTACTAGATTATATTTTCCTTATGGCCTACTCCTAGTTCTATTCTTACGTTTGTTTCCTAACGCAAATAATTGAAATCACTAGAACATTGACTCTGTTGTTTATTTTGCTTCATCTTAATGCCAACACTACAATGAGACTGGAGGGTTTTAAGCTGCTACTCTGGGCTGAGCTTCTTCCGGTGCCGTAAACTAGCAAAGAAAGATGTAAAGCCTAAAATGTTTCTGCCAGTTGTTTTCGTTCTTGTCATTTTGTCAATGATTATTGTAAAAGACACGCAGGCTATGATAAATTGACTCAGTAAAACCATTGTAGACTAATTTTGTCAAACATTTTATCAGTGTAACTTGTAAAAGGACAAAAATAATTTCCGATAACAATCGATAATAATCGATACCAATCGATGAATCAATCGCTATCAATTACTATCGGTAATCGATAACTCACAACTTCTTTCTTTATTACACCCGCTTTCAGTGTTACGTGCATAGGCGATATCTTTCGACATGCCATCTTTCGACATGCTATGTAACCTGGCCTACTTAAAAAATGTATTAACAAAAGCACAACGGACTTCTTTACGGTCGAACTCGAATTGTAATGATGAAAGATTGATTTATTTGACATCAAATTAAAGTTAGGAGTATGAAGAAGTCATTCTGGCAGAAATAAGTCGACTGTTTTGAATGTTTTTTTTTTTTTTGGACTGTTTTGAATGTTTACACGTTGC